ATGTAACAGGGTTGAATGGATTGAGATTTACTTCCTGCTATGCTGTAGAAATGTCGTGTGTCTTAGGCATCACAGTTTTGCTTCAAATACGATGATTTTGAAATTTACACTCGAATTATAATGCAAAACCAAATCAAAGACGACCATAATCTGCAATTGCAAACCATAATTTACAATTGCAAAAATCCAAACTTTAGTTTAAATTCTTTCCATTTAACATCTGTTTGCCAATTTCCAGTCCCTGCCTGACCCACAACCAGTTTTCCACACTCTGAACCATTGAAAGCCATCACTAAAACCGCTCTCAGATCAGAAACAACCCCGTCAGCGAGTCAATCCAACCATCAGCCACCACAGAAATAACAACAGTGGTGTTTTTCTGCTGTATCTGCCTGATAGGGATCTCCGGCCCTCATATCTCCCTCCAGCACTCCTGACGCTGGAAACCCAATCTCGCCTCTGCATCCGTCTGTTTGCCGCAAACCAGGGATAGGGGAGAAAATCCATCATTCCCACCACATCCATCCCAGAGAGAGCATCATGTTCAGAGAGCTGGCTGAAACGGACACCGCCAATTAGGAGCGGACAGAACACCCCGGCTGCCCTTTCTGCCCCTCTGTACTTGCACTTCTCGTCTCCCCGTCCCGCCAGCGCTGTGAGGAGAGGTGGCAGGGCGTCTGAGGAGCTGAGCTGGAGGTGAAGGAGGTGAATTTCCGAGGTCACGCCGAGACACCGATACCCCCAATTAAAGAGGCGAAAGATCTCGTTCTGTCAAAGCAGTGCCGCGGGCACATCGATTCTCTGCTCAAGCGCGGCCACAACTGAGGCACATTTAACTAGATCCTCGAACTACACGAATGAAGCATAGTCTAAAAAAATATTAAAATAAAATACATTTATTTTTAATTGTGTGTACTATATGCGTGTATATAATGCACAAAAACAAACAAAACAATAAAACATCGAATATCTTCCGAGTGATTATAAATGAAGCATGTTCAAAAAAAAAAAACATATGTGTGTGTGTGTGTGTGTAATTAAATGTATTTACATTTTATTTTTACGTATTTTATGTAAAAAAAATGTTTTTGTTTATTTGTTACATGTACAAAAGACATAAATAAACAATAAAAAAATCAAATATCATTCTGACTGAATATGAAGCGTATTTAAACAAATCAAGCATATTAAATAATTACCATTTAATAAGAATTAAAATTAATACAAAAATGTATTGTGTATTCTTTTCAATTTTATGTGTGTGTGCGTTTAATATATAGATATTAATTCAAACATTAAATAAATTAAATACATTTCTATATTAAATTTTTTTCTATTTAAATAAAACAATTTAAATTTTTACACTTTTCTAATTAAAATAATTTATTAAAATACTAAAAATAAACATATATATACATATATATATATATATACAAAGTTTTCGGGGGGTTTTTTTGTTTAATTTATAAGAATATCTTCAGATTGATTATATCTGAATCATTTTCAAACAAGTAATGAATATTATAAAAATAATACACGGATTAATTGATAAACTAAGAAAATCCCAAAATAAGAACTGAATTTTTATACCATGATCTAAATAAAGAGTAAAATAAACCATTTCAATATTTATTACATTAAAATGATTTATATCATTTATTCAAATACATTAAGTATATATAAAAGTTAATGTCGTGCATTTAGGAAACATTAAATGCTTTAGCTATGAACTTAGCCTTAGAAAATAATCAAATGAAATGACATTTCCACCAAAAAAATCATACTAAACACATTACATATTCTCAGATGTGGAGGAAATGTTAATGACTTTTAAGAAATGTTTTTTGTTGTTTGTTTTTGTCAATACTGAAAAAATAAAAATGTATTAAGTGTGTAAAAAATATGGTTTAAGAGAGTTTCTAAAGATGTCTGTAGTATCAAAACTGCCTGTAATTAAAGAAACACCCACTCACTAAAAGTCTGAATACTAAGTACAGTAAACGTACACTGTATGTGACTAGAATAGTAGCCATAGCCAAAGTGAGGCATAACTCATATACTGGTTCCAGCTTTACTAGTTGTCTCAGTCCCGCAGTTCTCCTCAAGAGAAACTCAGATTGGTTCGCGTGAGCAGCCGCGGAGTCAGCGTTCACGTCAGTGCATTGATGCAGCAGCGCTGTGATGTTCACGCATGAGTTATTTATACTGCAGACAGCCAGGAATAGAACAGCCCTCCTTACCCAACCTCAATACTCACACGCAGCTGACATTTATAGAGACCAATCAAAGCCAGAGGACGTGTGAGGGGAAAAACCTCATCACATTATACCTTCATACACTGCTACAACTTCACTACTCGCTTAGTTCCAGGGTTCGAACCAACAACTTTTCAATGAGGAGCCTGGGTCTTCTTTAACCACTAAGCTACACCACCCTCTGAGTTACAGCATCAATCAAATCTTTGTTCACTGATTTCAAACATCCAATATTTAATACATATTATGTACATAATTTTCAAAATAGACAGATTTCAAAAACATGCAACAGTCTGCCATCTTGTGGCCACAAATGCGTGTGCATTTTTGGCAGCAAGATTGTGCATTTAAATATTAATAATCTTTTTGTAATTACATTTTAATATATTATTATATTTTTATATATATTAAATTATAATTTTATAACAGTTTAATTAAAATTTATATTAAATGTTTACAGCCTATAGAGTATGTATCAATATTAAATAGCTGTAACATTCAGTAGAAATACATATTTAATAACAAATTAGTGCGAACAAAATCACAATTAAAACATTATAATAGAAAGTCAAATTAATATAAACTGATTATGACCAATAAATAGAATAAACATACTTTTTATTTTGCATTAGGCCTATAACTTTTCTGTTTTACGTAGATTAAAATCACAAATATTTTTCAAATGTAAATGTAAAAAAAAAAACATGAATTACTATGCAGTATAATACAATGTAATCAATTACCTATTTTTGAGTATGTATTAAGATACTTGTACTATTCAGCTGAATACTTGTGTACAAACCTGTGCAAAAGAAAAACTGTAACAGTAATAGTAATATTTCTTTACATAGTTTTACATTTGTTTAAATGTAAATATGAATAGATTTTTATTTATACTACATTACAATTTATTTTTAATAATTAAAAGCAAATCTGTGCAAAAATTCGCAAGCATAATATTATAATAGCAGAACTAAAATAAATATTAAATGATTGACATAAAAATAAAATATTATTCTTCATTTTGTATAAGCTTTCTTTGTTTTATATTTTACAAAATTATACTTCTTTTGCATCTCTTTCAGAATTAAACTAAAATTAGCTAAAATATTGTGCAATTACAGTATTTTATAATAGTAAAAACAATATTAAATAAATAAAAAAATCAATAATAAATCACTATTTACATTTTTTAACCATAAACAGTCTGATTTTAAAATTTAAGTGTAAAAAACTTACATATTACAAATTATAATACAATACAATTTACAATATGATTTATTTATTATTTGATTTGCTTATTTATATATTTGCTTATTATACAAAAAATTAAATACTTTTAATATTCCATTGAAATGTTTACATATTTAAAAGCAAATCTGTAAGAAATATTTAAAAAAGAGGGGGAAAAAACCCACCTTTGTGTTCTCCTGCAGACTGTTTGCTTATGGTCACATTTGATGGTTCATCAACTTTCAGCGTTTGAACTAAAGACTCAGCGGAGATTTGAGTTCCAGCAAAAACTCCAGAGGGGAAACTGAACGCCTACACGGAGAACACATGAAGCTCAATGAAGAACGATCTCATTTCGATCTTTAGGTCATCTGAGGAGAAATTACACTGGAATACAATATATGGCACTGACTTGTGAAATATTTAATAGCATACGACAAATGAATAATACAAACAAGTGGCCATACCTTTGAATTATTATTTATACTGCTGTCAGATGTGTTGAGTTTGGTCTCTTGTGAATCTGTTTTTGTGAGTTGAGTGGGCTGGATCTGTATCTTCTCCAGATTCCCCAGCGTGGGTCTGTTTTGGTGCTCATTTTCCAGCTTCACAGCGCCATGATGGAGCTTCTGCCGGACCCGTTTAATTTTCCCCACCATTCTGCCTAAGTATACGTGTTTTAATTTATTGTACGTTTATACACAGCGCAAACGTATAGAACGAGTCCCGCGCGTGTTAAAGTTGACAATTTGTTTGGTGTTGTTACAGCTAATATTGTCAGAGTAAAAATGAAACGGAAGATGAGTTCCGTCAAAACTCCTCCTCAGGTCGTCGAGGCTCGTCTACGCTTGAAAATGTTCAGGTATAGTTTTCCAACCATCTTTAAATCTTAAATTAACAACGCAAATTTTAACATAAAACACATAACAAACGGCAATAGTAAAAAGAAATGTAACTTTAAATGTTACAAGAAGAAATGTCCGTTCCCATGGTTAAGCTAAGGTTAGTGTAGCAAAACCATGGTTAATTTGTGGTCACCATAGTTTAACTATAGTAACCTTGTGGGCTTTATTTGTAGTAAAATCATGGTTAATTTTCGTAAGGGCTGCTCTGTGCCTGTTCAAAATTTGGTGTAAAAACGTAATTCTGCATAAAAAGCCAGACTAAATTAAGCCAGCTCTGACCTACCTCAGCTCCTAATATCAAAGCATAGTTCTGTTTGCTGTGTAAATGCATTTATGCCATCTCAGAGCAGCATTAAACAGCCTTTGTAAAGACCCTAAATGCCATTTCAGTAGCATCTCTGTGCCGCCTTTGCACTGTAATTTTGGTAGTAAATTACACGATCTGGACGAGCTCACGGAATCTGTAACATCATATAAAAGCTCTTTCTGATTCTGATTCTGATTCTAAATGAAATTTACACTGCAAAGGTGGCACAGAAGCACTTCTGAAGCGGCATTTAAGTGTCTTTACACAGTTTAATGCTGGCCAGAGGTGGCATAAATTCATTTACACAAAAATCACAGCCTGGGGTGGTCAGAGCAGGCATAATTTATTCTGTTTATCATGTGGCATTGAGTCTTTGCATTGAATTTTGAGCAGGCACAGAGCAGCCTTACCTCAGTGGTGTTTATCAGAGTTTTGAGATCATTTTTAGTCACCTCATTCTTACCAAGTTGTTTATTCTCATTTATAAACTGGTATAAACCGGAACCTGTGTTTAAAACAGAAACAGGAAGTCCTTTCAAAATTATCTTTATTATTCTTTAATGAATATGGCAAATAAATACATATATACACAAGCAAAACAGACGGTTTACAGGTAGTTATTGAACAATATTACAAAAACAGAATATAGATCCAGCTCATACACAGCTTAGAAATATAAAAATATAACACTATTAGTCCAGCAGCATACATTTGATTTAACAAATGACTTGACATGATTCAGAATAATCTACTTTAAGTTCTCTTATACATCTTAGGTGCATTTTAAGCGTATATGTATTTTGAAATGTATACTGTATCCAGGTACTGTAGGTGGAGGTGGGAACAGATTTTCACTGCCCTCCTTCTGTATCTCTGTGTAACTGATTCTGGCCCCTGAGGTACTTCAGGGCCAAAGTAAGATTGTAATTGAGCCCTTGAGCCCATTATCTCTGTACTTTATTCCAAAGGAGCAGTTAACACACACACACCACTGTAAGTACTACTGAAATGTAGTGGTACGATTAAAAAAACAAAACTATTTCTATTGAAATAGTTCTAAAATACATAAAGCAAGATGTAAAGACTTGTCATGCATGGTAAAAATTACATTGGGTGAATCTCATGTGAAATATCCAGGTCACACTGCAAAAAAGTCTTGTTTTTCAGTACAAATATCTAAACATTCTTAAATTAAGATACATTCATAAATCTTGTTTTTTGAAAAATATGTTTCGTTTTTGCTTAAAACAAAAAACAAAACAAAATCTCTGCCAAATGGGCAAAAAATTAATTCAAAAGTAAACCAAAATTACTTTTCTGACGCCACTGGTATTTTTTTCCTTCGTTGTTATTTTTTCTTGTTTTAAGCAAAAACTCACTCAATTATGGTATATTTTTTTCAGAAAACATGACTTAGTATTAGAAGTTATTTTGCATCTCATGTAAATGTATCGTAATTTAAGAACGTTTAGATGTTTGTCCAGGAAAACAAGACAAATTATATTTTGCTGTGTATACTTCAACCTAAAATTTAAAGGGGAAAAAAAATCTATATTTTAGTCCTAAAAACAAACCAAAATAGGACTAATTCCTTATGCAAATATAATTTTCTATTTTCCTTTTAATTTTAAAGTTAAAACACAACCTGGACATGTATCGCATTGAAGTTATATTTAGATACAGCTCCTTACAATCACACAAACCTTAATGACAGTAAATAAAATTACTATAAAATTATTTGGCGTACAAATGAACTAAATCTATAGCAATACAACTTTACCTTAAAATTGTACATTGCTACTTTTTAATACATTTTTACTGTACTTATTAGAATGTCAGCATTCTGAAAACAAGTGTTGACTGGGAAGACTTGAAATTGTTGCATTTTTTAGTTTCTTTTGTGCACGTGTCAGTGCAAGACAACTTTAAATTAAGTCAGTTTACGTTAGTTTAGTTATCCGGACATTAACAAATAGCGAGGAAGGAGGTATGCCAGTGCCGTCCTTAGACAGGAGATGAATGTGACGATATCCTACGAGGAAGAACAAAACGTGCTTAGTATTAACAGGAGGATACATTTTTGATGCATTTGGTGGAACGGAGACGTACCTGGCTGAATACAGGTGAAAGGGAGAGTGAACTGTCCCACAAAGTCATTCTTTGATGTTTTATCATAGTCCTCCACGACAAACCGTACCAGCGCTAATTCAGGGACGTGAATTGTGAACTGAAGCGTATCGTACCATGCTGGGTTAAAACCTGCAGGGACAAATGGGTAGCTGACAAAATTTCAAGCTTTATCAACAAATTTAAAAAGTGCAACTTTAAGGCAATTTTTCTAAATTATTGTACAAATATCATTTATCACCTCATATTAATTGAAATATTTGCACTTTTAGAAATGAATTAGTCACAGGACTAAGTCAACTGCTCAAAAGTGATTAAAATCGTGAAAACTTACAGTAAAATACAATATATAAATAATCTACATTCACTGTGAACGTTAGCGCATGTCTAAAACCAATCGTTCGAAAACAAGATTTGTTTCAAGCTTGTTTAGTCTTTCGAACGCAACTAGAACTCTGGTTTAACTGCATCTAGGCTTTTTCAGTCTAGACACAACTCCGTCCTATACGTTTTAACTGACCGTTGTTGTCAATATATCTGGTTTCCTGCTTGGCCTGGTCCAGTGGTACGCCGTGAATTTCCACCCGAACGAGGGGATCAATGATTGAGCCCTCCTTGATGTTTACCTTGGGAAGCTGTTGGCCGCTGATTACCTGAAAAGATCACAGTATATGCAGGTTTAGCAATAACGCAATTAAAAAGTAATAACGCCAGGACATACACAGAAATTCAGGTTTGTACCTGAATAGACAGGCTAAGCGGCTTGTAACCGTCATTTTGGGGGTTTTCTGGGTCAAACCTCTCATCAATGTTGCGCATGAATGCTGGTTTCAGTATGTAGCCACAATGTCCATTCTGACTGAATAAGCCATCGTTCTGATCCATCTCAACCCCTGCGGTCTGAAAGTTCAGAGCAACTGGGAAGGGAAGGGAAGGGAAATCTAAACATTCTTAAATTAAGATACATTCATAAATCTTGTTTTTTGAAAAATATGTTTCGTTTTTGCTTAAAACAAAAAACAAAACAAAATCTCTGCCAAATGGGCAAAAAATTAATTCAAAAGTAAACCAAAATTACTTTTCTGACGCCACTGGTATTTTTTTCCTTCGTTGTTATTTTTTCTTGTTTTAAGCAAAAACTCACTCAATTATGGTATATTTTTTTCAGAAAACATGACTTAGTATTAGAAGTTATTTTGCATCTCATGTAAATGTATCGTAATTTAAGAACGTTTAGATGTTTGTCCAGGAAAACAAGACAAATTATATTTTGCTGTGTATACTTCAACCTAAAATTTAAAGGGGAAAAAAAATCTATATTTTAGTCCTAAAAACAAACCAAAATAGGACTAATTCCTTATGCAAATATAATTTTCTATTTTCCTTTTAATTTTAAAGTTAAAACACAACCTGGACATGTATCGCATTGAAGTTATATTTAGATACAGCTCCTTACAATCACACAAACCTTAATGACAGTAAATAAAATTACTATAAAATTATTTGGCGTACAAATGAACTAAATCTATAGCAATACAACTTTACCTTAAAATTGTACATTGCTACTTTTTAATACATTTTTACTGTACTTATTAGAATGTCAGCATTCTGAAAACAAGTGTTGACTGGGAAGACTTGAAATTGTTGCATTTTTTTGTTTCTTTTGTGCACGTGTCAGTGCAAGACAACTTTAAATTAAGTCAGTTTACGTTAGTTTAGTTATCCGGACATTAACAAATAGCGAGGAAGGAGGTATGCCAGTGCCGTCCTTAGACAGGAGATGAATGTGACGATATCCTACGAGGAAGAACAAAACGTGCTTAGTATTAACAGGAGGATACATTTTTGATGCATTTGGTGGAACAGAGACGTACCTGGCTGAATACAGGTGAAAGGGAGAGTGAACTGTCCCACAAAGTCATTCTTTGATGTTTTATCATAGTCCTCCACGACAAACCGTACCAGCGCTAATTCAGGGACGTGAATTGTGAACTGAAGCGTATCGTACCATGCTGGGTTAAAACCTGCAGGGACAAATGGGTAGCTGACAAAATTTCAAGCTTTATCAACAAATTTAAAAAGTGCAACTTTAAGGCAATTTTTCTAAATTATTGTACAAATATCATTTATCACCTCATATTAATTGAAATATTTGCACTTTTAGAAATGAATTAGTCACAGGACTAAGTCAACTGCTCAAAAGTGATTAAAATCGTGAAAACTTACAGTAAAATACAATATATAAATAATCTACATTCACTGTGAACGTTAGCGCATGTCTAAAACCAATCGTTCGAAAACAAGATTTGTTTCAAGCTTGTTTAGTCTTTCGAACGCAACTAGAACTCTGGTTTAACTGCATCTAGGCTTTTTCAGTCTAGACACAACTCCGTCCTATACGTTTTAACTGACCGTTGTTGTCAATATATCTGGTTTCCTGCTTGGCCTGGTCCAGTGGTACGCCGTGAATTTCCACCCGAACGAGGGGATCAATGATTGAGCCCTCCTTGATGTTTACCTTGGGAAGCTGTTGGCCGCTGATTACCTGAAAAGATCACAGTATATGCAGGTTTAGCAATAACGCAATTAAAAAGTAATAACGCCAGGACATACACAGAAATTCAGGTTTGTACCTGAATAGACAGGCTAAGCGGCTTGTAACCGTCATTTTGGGGGTTTTCTGGGTCAAACCTCTCATCAATGTTGCGCATGAATGCTGGTTTCAGTATGTAGCCACAATGTCCATTCTGACTGAATAAGCCATCGTTCTGATCCATCTCAACCCCTGCGGTCTGAAAGTTCAGAGCAACTGGGAAGGGAAGGGAAGGGAACACTTAGCAATGAAAAAAAATATTTACCACCATTTGTATTTAGTACTAAGAGATCCTGCCTAAAACATTGTCTATTGGAACATTTCCTATTTTCATGGATAAAGAATGGTAATTTAGGCGGTTACACTAGTGATATCTTGGCTAGTTAACTAGCAATGCTCATCAACTTTGAATAGTCTTGGTTGGTTTAAAGGGGTCATGAACTAAGAAATCAAAATTCCCTTGATCTTTTGACATATGAGAGGTCATTGTACTATAAAAACACCCTCTAAGTTTCAGAACTCAAAACTTTCTAAAAACAGCTTATAATGAAGCCAGTCTGCCTAAACGACAGGTTGTGGAATGTGCCACTTTTTGTCATAATAGTGTTGCTAAACACCGCCTCCGCACCCCACACATCACTGCCTGTTTAGCCCCGCCCACCGATTTGCATGTTAAGTAAATAACGAGAGAGACAAACGCAGGTCTACGCCAGTGTTGCCAAGTCCGCGTTTTTTCCGCAGAATTGTGCTACTTTAACACTATTGCTGCAGGTTGTTTTTGTTGTCCGGGGTTGAAGCGACCCCATAATGTGATATTTAGCCCCTGCAATGCGAATTTTACCTGGGGAACCTTGCCAAAAAACATGTATTTTAAGCCCCGGAACGTGGAGACCGGACCAAATTTTTACCGGGGGACCTCCTCGATAAGCCATTGGGCTAGTTTTGAGTGGCAATTGGGCAGGTTTTGTTGTGAAAACCTGGCAACCCTGGTCTATGCAGAAAACAGTAAAGATGGCTCTGAAGACAACAAGACGCTGTGCAGTGACAAGTTGTGGAAAAACAGTCGTTACATTGCTTTCCTTCTGATCCCAACATTAGGAAAGAGTGGATGAACTTTATTTTTAATGAAGTTCCAGACTGCGTCAGTAAGAACTTGGTCCTTTGTTTACTTCATTTTACTGCAGATTTGTTTACAAACAAGGCACAATTCGACGCAGGAGTTTCAGAAAGATTGAAAATAGGGCTGCACGATAAATCGCATGCGATATTTAACGCGCATCTTATCAGTAAAATAAAAAAACAATGCTGTGCTGAATATATTGGATCCGACAGTAATGTCGCACCACACGAGTGTGAGAAACTGTTTTCATTACGTGATCACTATTGCTTTGTCTGTTATTAACCTAAATCCACTGCAGTGTCCATCTGTGAAGGATGTAGGCTGTCAAACATACACAAGTGTTAGCCAATCATAGCAGTGGGCGTTTACTTCAGAGTCTACAATCCCACTGTAAGATTTACAGAACCTCAGACACTTTGATCTTCTGAGATACAGTACACACATAGTGTATTCAAATACAGACATCTGTTTCTACATCTCACTGAGAGAAAATGTGGGAAAACTTCTCTCTCACCTATGCATTAGTTCCTTCTCATCCCCTTCCTTTCCCTCACCCATCCATTCCTTAATTCAGCTCACTCAGAATGGTCAATAGTAGAATATAATGTTCTACATGAATGCAGGTGATATTTACGGTCATGTCTGGTATCATTTGAATTGTCTCTGTGCGTCTGGTACAATGGTCTCATTCTTACAAGTAAACTAAAAGGTAATACAGATCCTAAGAGTTTAGAAATATTTATTTAATATCTAAACAGAACCACTATTTAAAGAATGACAAGCATGAGGCGGTCTATTAACTAGTTAGTCATAACCTCTGAATAATGATCAGACTGGAGAGTTTGTGATCGTGGGGTACACGTACATCGGCCGGCGTGATACACCCTAAGCGACATAGATTCCTAATGAACGAGTAAATATAAAGTAAAGAGTTAACTAGAATAATCAAATGTCAGAAGAATACTGATTAGAAACAGACAAACAACCAATCTGCATTTCAACCTAAATTCGAGGTCATAATAAAATGGAGTCAGATTAGATAATAAAATGGAGTCAGATTACAATTTAACATAAATTTAATAACTTTGTGCGCTGAAAAGACCAAACACACAGGAAACCTTCATCCACCATTGGATACCTCCGTTGGGCCAATTCATGGACCTTACACCACCACGCCTATTCAAACGGAGCGTACAGATGAGGGGGGTCAAAACAGGACAGAAAATAGCCTATTACTTTATTACTATTAATTATGTTTTTTATGTAAAAATCTTGATAACATTATAAGTGAACAGTACAGAGAACAGTACAAAATAATAAAAAAGGTAGTTCATGACCCCTTTAAGATGGTTTAGCTGGTCTCCCAGCCTGGGGTGCGTTTCCCATACAACCACGTAACTCGCTGATTAACCGATGCATTGTTGTGGAAACAAACTAGCTAGTCATGACTGTTTCCCGAACATGGTCGCATCTCCGTCGTTTGAACCACATTAGTTCAACAACATAGGGCCATTGTTAATGACATCAAACGCATGTGGTGGAGTAATAACTTCTGCTAATTAACTGATTAGAGAGCTCTAAGATGCTGCTGTATTGAACATGGCCCCTGATGACTCATTTTATTTTTTTTGTTCTCTGTCATTTTGCTTTATTTGATGTTTGATTCATCGCGGGTTCCCTCTTACGTTATACTCCAGGGTTCCCTTGTGCACATGTGCACTCTTCAAAAATGGCGCTTATTGAGGACGCATTAAAATACAGATTAAAATGCATTTATATTTAGATTGAACTGCATGTTAGCTTGTTTATTGTGCCTAAGAGCATATTTATTTAAGCCCATATGTCTTACCAACAAGGAACTATGCTTCTAACCACAGGTTGAGAGCTGTAGTTCCAACTACGCAAGTCTGCGACGCTGTTTGCGAATGTTCGTTTGAACTATGGTTTCGGGAAACACCGAATCGTGTACGGTCCAGATTTTTTTCACTTGAAGTTGGCACAAAGTAACCCTCCTGATCAGAAGTGGAAGTTTCCAGGGATGATCAAACCTAAGTGTTCAACATGTTACGCAATTAGATTTGAATCTTGCGGTTAAAGTCGTGGCAGACTGTAACTCTTACTCGAGGATGCAGCACCGTAGAGCTCTGATGAAGACCTGATAAGACTCCCAGTGAGACAAGACCGCCATTCAATGTTTTACAATATGTTGACTCATGAAGTAGCCAAAGAAATTGTATCCTAGATATGCCCCATTATCGTTAACATTATTTCGTTGTTAAAGGGGTCGTATGACGTTGCTAAAAAAAGAACATTATTTTGTGTATTTGGTGTAATGAAATGTTTATGCGGTTTAAGGTCCAAAAAACACATTATTTTCCACATACTGTACATTATTGTTTCTCCTCTATGCCCCGCCTTTCTGAAACGCGTCGATTTTTACGAAGCTCATCGTTCTGAAAAGCGAGGTGTGCTCTGATTGGCCAGCTATCTAGTGCGTTGTGATTGGCCGAATTCCTCAAGCGTGTGACGGAAATGTTACGGCCCTTACCATACTGTGATGCCCTGTCCCGGCACGATGAGACAAAACCAATAAAACCCATTATAATTTTATAGGCATTTGTTGCATCCAGTGGGGACATAATTACTGATTATAATGACTTCTACTGTCTTTTTATGTGTTGCGTTGCATCGCGCCGTGTAAACATAAAACCATGTCTGCATTTGTGATCGGAGAAATGACAAACAACAAGCACTACTCTACACTGCATGAGTCAACAAGATAAGATGACTGTATCTCGGATTGGAGAAACCAAGAGAGGTGATCCCTGACTGCAGCTAACCAGAGTTAAGAGAATCAAGTGTCACATGGTAACAACAGTGTCAGCAAATGCACATGGTCACCTATCAGATAGCAGAAGACCACAGAAGATATGCAGTTTCTGTCTTATCTATCTCTGACTTTCTCTCTTGCTTGTTCTTGTTTTCTTCCCAAGATTGCTCCAGTGTCACCCCATCCAACTTGCATTAGTGCTTTATGCAATATACCCGCTTTCAGGGCCATGGAGCATCTCTTGTCTCTCAGAATATTTTGCTGCCTTCAACATGAGACAAGCTGGTCTACATTAGTTAAACTG